TCCTGTACTGAAGTCTCTTAGCACAAAAGCCTAAGTTGTTCCAAGCCAAGGTAGCCATCCGTTATGAATTACATATGAAGTTTTACAGAAAGCCCTAGGCTTTAATATCATGCAGAGATCCTCAGACTCTCAAATTTTCCTTAAATATAGGTAGCTGGTCCTCCTCGTTTAAAGTTTTTTTTTTCTTCAATCATAAGGTCTGAAACAAAACAAAAAAGGAAAGAAAACGACAAACCATAAGTCACGATTTTTCTAGAGAATTCAAGTTTGATGCTAGCCCTAATCCTTCAATCCTGGTGAATGCATGGGATTTTTTTGTTTGTTTCTGTGCTTTTTTGGTGGGGAGTTCGGTTGGTTGGTTGTTTTTTTGTTCGTCCAGCACGTGGTCATACAATAAGGCGTGAGCAAAGGAGACAAAGACGTAGAGGCAGAATGTGGATATGTCTGTCATTAAGTACATCAAAGTTACTCAGTGTATGTGTGTTCTGTGTGTTTATGGAGTGTTCAGTTTAGTTTTGCAATACTTGTTTTGTTTCAGCTCTGACAAATAGTTTGTGTTTCTTTAGTCCAGTGATGAGGACGTTCTTGACCGCAGGTTGCTTCTGGCCTGGCAGGGCTGCATCAAACACGTTGCCATCTTTCCTGGAAGACCCTTGAAATCTTTCTGTTATCGTGTGATCAGAATTATTCCTTTTTTCCTAGCCAACACTTTGCGTTTCTACACAGACTGTAAAAATAAGCGTTTTGCATTTGCAGCTAGCACCGTGCCGTATGATGGGTGCGTGGCTGGTCAGGTAATGGTCTGTTTGCAACCTCTGTTTATTCCCAGGAGTTTCTCTGTCACTTGACTAGACTGTAACTATTCCTTGTCAGGTAACTGATGTCTTTGGTCATGTACCAGAAGTACTTCTAGTTATATAGTTGGGAAGCAATTTTTTTCTTGCAGATTTCTTTTTACCTTCATAGTAGTGGTAAGTGGCCTGATCTGACCAAAAGGAGGTTTTTTTCACCTCTGCTCTTATGTCCACATACTTTTTTTGCGTGAACTGCCCATTTTCCCATTTGCTGGTGCACTCAGCAAATATTATTTGCTGTGGAATCCTCTGTGTAAAGACACTAAAATGTAGAGCAGTTGTGGTTCTGATTTCAGAAAAACTGTAAGGTCCATCTACCTTTTTTCCAAATGTATGCATTTCATGGTTTAGACTTCATATCAAAGCAAGACTTAAACATGCTGTGTGTCATGTTTTTGTAAATCATGATTTTCAAAATGGTGATAGGATGTTTTTTCTGTAACTATCTAGAGTGTGTACAAATCCTAGTTTATTACCCATTCCTGTCCCTTATATACTTTAAGCATGTAACAGTTCATTTTTCTGCATTAAAGAGTAATATCCTGGAGACCATCTAGCAATGTCAGGAAACAGAATATCCCAAACTTCAGCTTTAGTCAGATAATAATGCTTTTTTGTTAATATATCAGAAAGGTAAACAGCCCCACAGTGGAGTTGATCTAACTCTGGGAGTCAATATACTGTTAAGACAATTCATTAACGCCCATTTGTATTAATAAGAAAGGAATTGTCTTTAATGAGGCAATATGCTTTCAAAAAGGAAGGAGTTAGAAAAGGTAAGATGTCCTTACCAATTGGAAGTTAGTTTTAACAGCTTTAAACTAGGGTAGGCTGTTTTACTGGGAAATTCAGGGGCTTGTGTTGGATATGTTCTAGGAAAAAAAAAAGTCTGAAATGAAACCTTACATAATAAAGGAATTGGATGCCACTAGTTTCCAAGTTAGTATTATAATGCTTAAAGGTTATGTGCTTGGCTTGTGGCATAAAATCCAAACCCAAGACTTAGGCACTTCACAAAGAGTGGCTGGGGAGATCAGAGAGGTGATGCACAACACCTGCACAAGGAGCAGTGAGACTGACCCACAGGGTAACCTGACATTTGCATGTTTTAACTCAACCTTCGCTGGAGCTACGGTGAAAGCTGGTTATCTGTGTCTTCCACATCCGTACAGAATTATATTTAGAAAATAATATTGATGAAAATTTTATTTGAAACCCCCTCTTTTTTTTTTTTTGTTTTTGTTTTTGTTTTCCTGTGATTGTGCCCACTTTACCCTGCTGTGCTAGCACTAAGAAGTTTAGGGAGGGCCAGGGTACATAGAGATACCATATGAGTCTCTAAAATGCTGTCGTTCCCTGTTATTGGGGTGTGACCAGAACCTTGTTCCTCCCAGCTGGGGGCAAGTAAAGGACTTAGCCAGTGTATATCTCGAGATGAAAACGGCTGTGATTTCAGCAGAAGTATGATATTTAGGTATCTTAAGAGACAATTAAGTATCTACTATCATTTTCAAAGAGTTTGACATATCCAACTGGCAAGTACTTTGGAAAGTCTGACCTATTTTTCCATAGTTAGCAAAGTACTTGAATGTTCACTGAAGTACATGCTTAAAATCAAACGTGAAATTCTACTCATCACAGTAAAAATACGTGTGACCTTATAAGTGGAGGTTCAGTGTCTTGGTAGTGACAAGTCAGAAATACTATAATTCTTGTGAAACTTACATTGTATGTAAGAACTCCATGTAATTCTTTTTACCTGGAAGACTAAGACAAAATGGATATCTCTGAATCTTTCACATGCACTCCCCACCCTGAAAACAGGTGAGTGCAAATGTGTGTGTTTCCAAAGTCAGCGTGAAGATACGAGTACTTGGTCATTCCCCAGCAACCAGGAATCACAGGTTAATCTACATATTTATCAGTCCAGAATAATTGCCTTATTAACAGTGAAGCTTCTAAAAGTGCTTTTAATTTGTTCTGTGTGCAAGTAACATTTCTGAAGAATTTACTTGCTTGATGACTTTTAAAAGTTAAAAACCCAAAAACCTTACACAAGATTAACTTCAATTTGATACATACGTCAAGAAATTCAGTTGCCGTAATAATAAAAAAAAAGCACTAATGCTGTAATTTGCATTTGAAAAGCACAACACATACCAAATATATTTACTACCAGACAAGTAAATATGATGCTGTTTCTTTGAAAGCCCAAGTATCTTTTCGTGATAAAGTTATAATAATGAAGGTTAAGAAAGACACTTAAAGGTCAGATAAGTCTTAAAAAAAATATGTAATTCTAGCAGATATAGCGCTGTATTGTGGTATAAATCTGACTTTAACGGCAGCATTTTATTTTTTTTTTAGTACTGGTCATGTCAAGTTAAAGGTCTACATTAAAACAGTAGGTTATATATATATTTTTTTTAAGTAATTCCCTTTTCTCAAGACCAGTTAGTACTTTATTTTCAGAAGGGCAGGAAGTTTCACACATCTTAAACAGCAAGATGCAGCTTCCAACTTGAGTCTGAGGAATCAAAAGTGCTGGGTAATTGCATGGGAGCACTGTAGAATGGTCCATGCTGGTAAGACGCTCATGCTTTATGCAATTGATTTCTTCTTAGGACTTGGTTTTGCATATTTGCTAGCTAGTAACCATCGGAAGTAAATGGATTAACAGTGAGGACAATAGCTTAATGAGGAAAAGGAGTAAACCAGTTTCCTAAATGCAACATTTTAAAAAATATTTGATGCCAGCATGCTTACATGTTGAGTACAAAATAATGTTACTCGATACGGAAAACTCTGCGAGTGAACCACTTATTTACAGTCAATAACACATAGGAGATGAAGAACAATGTCTAAACTATTATGTGCATTATCTCCCAAATGGAGAGTTTTTGTGTAATATGCTGATGTGTATGTTTTAAACAAGTTTAGGAGAATAGCAGGAATAAAAAACACTTGGTAATTTAAGAATCCTGTATAGCGGGGGGGGTGGTATTTAAGGATTTAGTCAATAGAAAATGAATATATATCTGCAAACCACTTGATTCGGGTGGACAAAAAGTCTATACTAGATTCATAGTGAATAGACATAACAGCTTGAAACTGTAAGCACTGTATAGTGAATCGTTGGCCTATTTGGTTTAAAGCCTTTTAAACCTACCTAAAGTGGTAAGTAACATGGTACAAAAGAAAGTTAAGAATAAATCCTGAGCTGGACCATTACCAAGCAGTCTGTGACCAAGAACCATTTTTTTTATTCTCAGTCTCTGCTTGCGGGTTTTTGGGGTTTTTTTTGGTAATATGTTCTGTGATATATTCATTACTGCGCTAACAGTCCCCTGTTTCTCCCACTCAAACTTTCCATTTTCTGTAGCGTTGCACCCAGTCTTGTCAGGTGTGTTGTGGGGTTTAGCTTTCTCTTCAGCATCAGGCGCAGCACCAGCTGTTGCTGAGGGTAGAGGACTGGGTGCACTTTCAACCCGCCATCACGTCCGACACGAGGTGCTTCGCAGTGTGAGAAGGACAGAGGGAGGGCTTTACCCTGGGCATGTAGTGCCTTATTCCTAAATCTATTTCCTGTTAAAACCTCTCTAATGCATGACATCTGTTTGAACTAGTAGTTATTTTCTGACATTCAGCAGAATTGCTCCAGTTCTTTTTTTGTGATTAAGTCAGCTTCATATCAATCTACTTTTTTTTTTCTTTATGGAAATGGCATCTCATTTAAAATTTGTCTCAGAAATTTCATTTTTGAAGTAATGACATAATTTTAGGTTCTTTTTGAAATAATTTAGCATTCAAACTGAGATGTGTATGTCAAATCTCAGCCTTAAGCAAACCCTGACTGGCAAAACTCTAGGAGTTGAAGGAAAATAGCTGTATTTTTGTAATGGAAATATCAACTCAACCTTAACGGTTTGTGACATGGATATATTAATGGATTTATCATTCATATGAGATTAGAGAAGGTATCTATAGCTACTTTATATTCACCGTTAAAATGGTTTTCTTCTGTCGAATGAACAATCAGTTCAAAATACGCATTCCTTAAACAATGACTTAGGAGTCAAGCTCGTTAAATGAAAATATACAGTGTATACCTTGCAGATTTATGTTGTTTGCTCTTTTTCTCTTAGGAAGCCTGACAAATAGGAAAATACTACAAAGTGAAGAGAAAATTCACTTCACGAGAACTGAGCGCTGCTTTCATTGGCTTTTAAATTTTATTTGTATTAATAACTGATTAGTGTCAAATCACGTCTGTGGTGAATTACTAGGTTAAAGCTGGAAAAAATGAAACAATTAAAAAGAAAAAGAAAAAGCAATTTTAGCGTTCAGGAAACTCAAACTCTCCTTAAGGAAATCAGAAAAAGGAGAGAAGTACTCTTCTCAAAGCAACTAAATACAACAATTAATGAGATGAAACGGAAAGCTTGGGAGGAAATAGCAGAGTGTGTAAATGCTGTAGGTGAAGGAGAGCAAAGAACAGGGACAGAAGTGAAAAGGCGATACCTTGACTGGAGAGCACTCATGAAGAGAAAACGTCTGAATGCAAACATCAAAGTAGTAGGTGCTGGGTTTCACCTTCCTTCGTCCAATTTAGATGACTCTCTCAATGAAGACATGGATGAGAAAATGGGATTTGCAATTGAATCTAGTTTTGAATGGCAAAATATCACTGACTTCAGAGAAGCCGGTGGATCTTTAACAGAAATCAAAGTAGAAGAGGAAGAGGAGGATCCGCAGAATTTTGAAGTGAGTTACTGACATACATTAGCTATATGGAATATGGCCTTCGTTTCATTTCAGCATAAGGCTTTTTGCTATGTTTCTTCATAGCATCTGTTTCTGTTTTTTCTGAATGTGTGAATTAAAGAAACCGTAGAAACAAATATGTTTCGAGAGATGGTATTCAAATTTAGCAACTTGCAGTCGTGTATAAGGTCTTGGATGTTGATTATTAAATTGATAGCTCCCAACTTTGAATATGTATTTGCACATATATTTTCCATTTGTATGTGCCATAGGTAAGAATTCATTCAGTCAGTAGAATGAAAATATGCCATTGAAGAAAGCTGGTTATTTTAATACTTAGGCTGGATGGATGAAAGGAGAAGAGAAATAAACCTCTTCAACAAATGAAAGTATATGTTACCTGCAGGTACAGAAGGAAATAGAATTCATAAAGAAATAGAATGCTGTTTGCATTTCTTAAAATGAACCCACAGGAGATGAAAATATTACTTGAATAAGTCAGCCATTCCTCTCTGTCAGAATTTTAGTGTGAATTTGACAAGCAGCTGTGGATCCTGTAGACAGGTTGTTACTCTTAGTACTACTGTGACTGTCCTGGGGTAGGCGGCTACCTGGCGTGAAAACAAATGTTTGGATAGTTTTGTTGTGCCTGTGCAAATATATAGTTCTCATTTCAAAAACGGATACTCAAACAGTTTTGGTTTGGGTTTTTTTTGTTGGGGGGTGAGGGTCAACTCCTGTCTTAGCTCAGTTGAGATGTGTGCTGGGAAAATAAACGAGCATAAGCTGTTAAATGGTGGTGAGACTACTGTCTGACAACTGCTGAAGAACAGTGTCTGCTCTAATGCTAGAGGACTGGCAGTGGCTCTCATTGTCTTAAGGTTTTCTGAAGCTGTATATTCCTCAGTTTGCCTTTCTTTTGCAGCATACTTAGCGGGAGACAATTATCCTGTGTGTACTATGAATTTGTAGTACATAAGGGCTATAATTCTGCACGAGTTGTTACAGTCTGCCAAGAGCAATGGTCCTAACCACCTAGTCCTCTGCATCACAAATAGCTTTACAGCAAATGTGATAATACGAAATTGGTTACACAAGTCCTGTTTATTGACCCACTTAATATAGTTTGAATGGTTAGGAGCATGCGAAAAATGTCAGTGTTAAATGTTTTTTAGAAATAGAATCCTTAAGTTAGTGAAGGCTGGGTTAGCTTACATACCACATAGCCTATGGATCCGGCTGCTCTGATAAGTAATTAGTCACAACAAACTCCTAGTGGCTTATATAAGTGTCACTCAGCTATATGAAGAGAACAACACATGCTTTTTTTAGATCCAGTTTTCTGTCAGTGGTTCTGAATGCTTTATAGTATCTATCATGCAGTATTTTCTGTATGATCTTGCATGTCCACTGACAAGCTGATTTTCCATTTTTCTTTAGCAGATATTAACTTGCAGATAAAGTATGTTTATCCACCTGTGTAATGGTATAAAACAGTCTTTTGGTGTTACATGGTTATTTCACTTGTGAGTTAAACAATTCTGAGTAGCTTTTAAGATTAAAAAACCCTACATGTTCTTTTCAATCAAGTTGTATGTAACAGATTTATTCTGGGATAAAGACTGGAATGTAATTCTTGCCTATTGCATTCCTCTTTGCAGTTTCCTATTGAGGAAGAAGAAGAAATTTTGTCATCAGTTTTGCCGGATTCAAAAAAGGAAAATGACCTACCAGACTTTCCCCACATTGAAGAGTTTGGAAATCTAAGCTCTGCTCAAGCTAGGCTAGCCTATGAAGATTCTCACTTGCTTATAAACCTGGAGAAGCAGAAGGTGGAGCTGGAGAAGCAGCGACTAGACATTGAAGCCGAAAGGTTGCAAGTGGAGAAGGAGCGCCTGCAAATTGAAAAAGAACGGTTGCGGCATGTTGACTTGGAGCGTGAGAGACTTCAGATTGAGAAGGAGCGACTTCAGATTGAATGGGAGAAACTCAGGCTAGAGACTCTGCATGCTGAAAAACCTGCCCTGGAAAATGACCTCAACCAAACAGAAAAACCCGTCATGCAGCCCCTGGATCTAGAAACTGAAAAGTTAAAACTTGAAAAAGAACGTTTGCAGTTGGAAAAAGAGAGGCTGCAGTTCCTAAAGTTTGAGTCGGAGAAGCTGCAGATTGAGAAGGAACGCTTGCAAGTGGAGAAGGAACGCCTTCGAATTCAGAGAGAGGGTCACTTGCAGTGAACTTCTCGACTGAAGTGTCAGCATTTGTGTTTTGATGTTTGTAAAGTAGAGGTAGTTCTTTTCTTAATACTGAAACTGTCCTAGAGACTTAACATTCTTCTGTTCAGAGTTGAATGTTGATGTTAAACTGAAAAAGAAAAAAAAAATGGTGCTCAATATGTCAGTGTGCCTACATAAATGAGCTTATGTGTGAAATTGCTTTTCAGTGTATCAGAACTAAGTGTTATGTTCTCTTGTCTTCAGTATTGTGTTGTATTAGTTTGGTGTCCTCCTCTCATAGACACGCTGAGAAGAATCAAGGCTGAACCTTGTACTTTTTTCACTGTACTAACAGTAGGGAAGGATCAGAATAAATCAACATATGTTGTGAGGGCATGGTGCTGATGATAGCCCACACAGTAAATAAGTATAAGTTAGATAGAACACAATAACACAAAGTCATGATGCAGTTGATTCATTAAACTTAATTTCCCCTTTTTTTGGTTTTTTTTTCTACCCCCACAATTGGAAAAAGTGTTCAAGAATTATCTAAAAGTTCAAGTACAAGTTAAATTCACTGCAGTTGTGTTCACTGTTGTTCCATGGCTTGAACTGAATGGGAGTGCAGAAAATAGTACTCTTCCTTTTGCATGAAGTATTCATACTAGATAAAGTTCCACATCAACTATACCTACTGTAAGCTGGACTGTTGGTTGCACCAGGTCATTAATAATGCTGTATGGAATATAGCACGTCTTAGTATAGCATAGGGAGTTACAGACTGCTCAGGCCTGCTCTCTAGTGAGTCTGTGATCACCCCCTGAAGTAAAGTGCTGGACCTTGTTTGTTCCTTGAAAGACAGCAGCTGGTGATGGGAGTCTTGGGAGTAGAGACACAGAGGCTGAGCACGGACGAAGGAGCACTGAGCTTGAACACTCTTGATGTTAATTCTGCCTGGCCAGCACTGAGGTCATGTCTGTCAGGCAGCCAGAAGAGGCCGGTGTGGCTGACACCATATATTATGTTTTAATTAAACAAACAGAAATGGTCAGTGCTGAAGGCTGTCAGTATTTTTCATAAGTGGTGTATTCGTTTAAAATAATTAAAAAAAAAACAACAAAACAAACAAGGAAGCTTCCTATTATTTGATATACATTTAAATCCCAACTGAGCCAGAGTTCACATTTCTCATCTTTCTGCAAGTAACTATCTTTTGTTGACTTCATTTGAAACTTAGGACTATGAGAATACTAAATCTGAATATATGTTGAGTGACTTACATGGATTCTTGTGCAAGTAAATATATTTATACCACTACAGGATTACTTTTATTCTGCAAAGAAAATGTTATTTTTTTATTACTGAAACAAGTGTGCTTCTACAGTGGAAATAAATTTGACTACTACAATCCAAAATTGCACTTGAGACTGTGTTTCTTTAGAGAGCAACAAGGCTACATATGAAGAGAAACCTGGATACTCAACACTGCAGCATCCCAATGTTGCTGGTGCCTGTATTCCCTGTGTAGTAAACTGGCAAGATGAGGCACCTCAGAGTAGGACTTAAGCCAACCAGAACGTAGGTGAGAAAGGAAAAAGGAAGGAGACACAAGCCAGCTGGTTAGAAATGCCCCAGAGGGAAGTGTATCTGAGATCATTCTTTTTGCATGTGGTGGGTTGACTCTGGCTGGATGCCAGGTGCCCACCAAAGCCGCTCTGTCACTGCACTCCTCAGCTGGACAGGGGAGAGGAAACATAATGAGAAGCTTGTGGGTCGAGATAAGGACAGGGATAGTCCAGTCAGCAATTACTGTCATGGGCAGAACAGAGTCAAATTGGGGAAATAGGTTTAATTCATTGCCAATCAAAATCAGAGCAGGTTAATGAGAATTAAAACCCAATCTTGAAACACCTTCCCCCCACCCCTCTCTTCTTCCCAGGCTCAACTTCACTCCCAATTTCTCCACCTCCTCCCCCCGAGCGGCGCAGGGGGACGAGGAATGGGGGTTGTGGTCAGTTCATCACATGTTGTCTCTGCCGCTCCTTCCTCCTCAGGGGGAGGACTCCTCACCCTCTGCCCTGCTCCAGCCTGGGGTCCCTCCCATGGGAGACAGTCCTCCATAGACTTCTCCAACCTGAGTCCTTCCCACGGGCTGCAGTTCTTCATGAGCTGCTCCAGCCTGGGTCCCTCCACGGGTGCCGTCCTTCAGGAACAGGCTGCTCCAGCCTGGGTCCCGCACGGGGTCACAAGTCCTGCCAGCAAACCTGCTCCAGCCGGGGCTCCTCTCTCTCCCCACGGGGCCACAGGTCCTGCCAGGAGCCGGCTCC